AACGCACGTGACGGAACACCAAAATGAAGACCCAAGATGACCAACCGGGAGATGATTGCCCGATCTTGGTATTTTGTAGGAAATATTGTTGTAGGGTGTGATTGCACAAAGCTTAATAGGGCCCTCCTAGGATTCTCGGCCAGGAATCGGTATGCAAACTCAATTCAGCCGCAGTAAGCGCAGAGCATGCAAAGTTTTTCGTTGTTGACCTGAATGCTATCAAAATTAAACAGCAGATGGCGATGAATGGCTAATCAATGCTGAGCTACATTACCTGCTGTCTTGGGACTAGGGTGGAGAACTTTGTAATGTCACTGACAGTAAAGGAATCGTGGAACATCGGCAACGCGATGAAGTGTCACAGAGAAGACTTTCTACGAACTTCTGGTCGCAATTGTGTTTGATCAATGGAGGTTTTCCTTCCCATCAGATGTCCTGAGGGTTTGACAGCATACAACGTCATAACGAAACTCCTTATCAAACAAATCGTCTCCTTGTTGTACCGACTGTCGAAACCCATACCACGGACCCGCCCAACATTTAGTATCATGAGTCAAGACATGGCTACAGATATTTCATACGCGTCAGGCATATGAGGTTTGGAGCGACAGGAGACCAGCGCGCTTTCATTTAAGGTATTATATATTGAGATCATATGACCTCAAGAAACCTGCACAGAAACAATCCATTTTGACAATTAACTAGCACTACTGGAGATTTGGTATTGAATGTCACCACTAGACTGCGGAAATAAACTGCCATATACCAGCTTCAACTGAAGACGTTCAGGCGTGAAGAGTGTTCTTCGCGTCAAGCGCCTAGATGAACAACTAGACGTCTGAAGTTAAGTGTCCGAGATGCTAACGATCAACTGCGTGCTCCAGTAGTGTACACTCAGCCATACGACTATCATCATAGCGGAAAAGCAGCAGTAAACTGGAGTAATAGTAAGGTACGAGTACAGCTATGACGCTGATGATATGAACACTGTATCAGCACATACTCTTGTGCGTTGGCATCAATACACCACCAGGGTTACCATTCAACGTTCGGTGGTCAAATGGCAATATTGTGGTAGGCTGGAGCATAGTGACTATGAAAGGTCACAAATCCTCAGTCTTTACGTCGCTGTCTTTGATATCCACTGGGTCACAGGGTGTTGGGGGGGACAGCCGCCAACCAATGACTGGATCTGGCTGAAAGTCACAGCTTTGATGTTTGGAACCGGAAATGATACGCTTTCCGACAGTTGTGTTGATACTACTACTGCCCATGAGAGTAAACGGCCGTATTACATTTCATCGAGACACGCAGATGCTAAAACAGTGGTCGTGTCTTTCAATACGACGAACATTACGTCGGTGTGATTACACCTGAAAACAGATGCCGTGTCGTACTGGCTAGCCTCTGACATCAGCACGACTCTACTCCAGTCTGTATTGAACGGTAGCTGCGACTATAATAGTATGTTGATGCCCTCCCAGCTTCCTACGGCATCTGAAACCCCGAAACTTTTGTAGATAGCTTAGTTGCAACCAACCCCCCTGCTGTGTCTCGGGACATGACACAAACAGCAACTGGAATCAGTGGCTATTTCCTAATCCTCCATCGTCAATAGTGTTGACCTGTCTTTCCCCGATAATGAAAGAAAAAAACGTAGTAGCTAAGTCCGCCACTATACGAAGAGCACTGTGGTGCTGGGGAAATTCAGTGTTTGGGACATGCATTAGGGTTTCGAGGATATTGACGATGCTCAATTGCCACTGATGCTTGATGGTGGTCCCGGGAGTGGAAGGTTGGGGGGGGGGGGGGGGGGGGGGGGTTTACCTATTGTAATTACAGTTTTACTCACACAAGGTGTCGCTTTGAAGTGAATAGCATAAGACTGGGCGAGTTGACATCACGTGGACAATTGACCGTGAATTCCAAAGAGGATTTAACGTTGCTCTTCAGCTACGGTCGTGGAAAATTGACTCAAAAAGAAGGCGATAGGTGACTGTACCGTCAGGGTCTCCATGAAAGGGCCAAATATCACCTCACATTCCTGAGAGTATTGATACCCAAGCTCTGTGATCATAAGGCCATAAGATTCGAGGTTTGTTGTGACAGAGAATATTACTAGACCAGCGGTGTCTCCTTTTTGGACTCTGTGCAAATAGACAGACCAGAGTATTTACCAAGCACCCACGATCACTATAGAGTGATCCCTAACCTCGAGACCAGCGCCTCGAAGGTTGCTGTTGTGAATGGACCGCATCAGGTGGTTTCTCTCTTACCAATAGCTCGGTTGATGACACAATGCCGGAGACTTTACTTCTGTGAGCCGTAGAAACGATGAGACCCATCCCACGTGTTACACTTTCAATGTAGAGTCTCGAGACAGAACGGCGTCTCTGTTGGTCCTAATTCCGGCACTATTACCCACATATCTGATCCTGTAGTCATGACAGTCACGGTGGTAGACTTCAATGACCATGCCCCAGATATTGAACGTGATCCATATACTGTCTCTGTTGAGGAGAATATAGCTTCAGGTACTGTGGTAGGGATGAGGTGTATGGCGACAGACCGAGATTCGTCTGGTCGGGGCGATCGGCGAGTCGGCAATCTAGCGGAGTTTTGTTCTGCCTCTGCTATTCAAGGTGGAGTAGTACATGCGTCTGAAGCAGTTGCCACGTTCTGGTTGTGTGGTAAGACCAGCGTGAGCAGCACAGCGAGATCTATCCACGACTATGCCAATCAGGCTCTGTGACTATGATGCAAGAGAATAATGTACAATTTTGAGCTGGTTGTGTGTGACAATGCATCTGTCCCCATGTGCGACTATGCGCAAGTGGCAGTAAGCGTTCTGGACCTAAATGACCATTATCCTCTTTTCACTGCACCTACATACACTGCTGTGATTGCCGAGACCGACTCTTCACTGCAAGAAGGGAGTGTGCTGCTCGACAGTAGGCAGTTCGGCTGATATGCCGACGCTCCACATAGACATCAGCGTCGAATCTGTACTTGTTCGAATTCTCACATCGTGGTCCATTCGGCAACCATCCACACCTTTCAGGCTCAGAGCTGAGACATCTCTCACTGTAGACGTGTATGTGACACAGCCTGGTCTCATTGAGCTACGATCAAGACATCAGAGAGATTTATCTGCTAACTGTTCTGTGGCCATCCAATGACGGGCTTCCATCGCCACAGATGTCACTCTGATCTCAACGCAGACGCTTACGTGCTCAAGGTAACTAGATGTGAATGACAATGTACTCTCCCTCTACTCATCATAGCCGGACCCTTAGGTATATTGACGATCCGTGAGAGAATACGATATAGCTTGGAGACCCGCGAGGAGGTGGGCATAGCATATCTGTGCCTCTGATAATGATGAGATGGTATCCAATGCTAGTCGATATATCCTACTCCAGTTGATCAATGAATCCTGGAGCGCGTAATTGCGCTGATGATGATCAATATCCATGTCGGCATGCGAGCAGCTTCGGTGCCTGACATCTATCGTGTATGCGTTGAGACTACGAAAGCATAATGTCTTTACAGGCTCAGAGTGATAGTGTGCGATGCTGGCTCACCAATGCTTTGTACCGAGAGGGAAATCACGGTGAATGTCACTGATCTCAATGACAATCCACTCGTGTACACTCAAGACCCGTTCTTTGTTGACCTCTAGCCCGAGTTGTGGCCGGCCATCGCTGACAAGACTGTTGCGTCGTTAGCAAATCACACGATGAATGATTCTCGCGATGATCAGAAACCTCGAGATGCCAGAAACATTGAATTCCTTAACACTACGTCGCCATTCTACCTCCAGGAGAGCTGGATAATCTACACCGCATCCGAGGAATTGGACTATGAGAACGGACCTAGAACCTATATCTTGCATGTTCGAGGGACAAACCCATCAGCCATTGTGGGTGATACGACATGGATTGTAGATGTGGTTGTTACAGTGAATATAGTTGATTGCAATGATAATCCTCCAGTATTTGACCCTGTAGAAGACACTGTAGTGATTCCTGAGCACGATTCTTCATTCACTTACACTCTCGCAACAACAGATAATGATACGGCTCCAAACTCACTTGTGAGCTATGCTATCGTTGAACCGTCACCATTCAGCATTGTGGGAAGCACGATCCAAGTATCAAATAGTGCCGCTATTGATTTTGATCCACCAAACAACATCTCCCAGTATATTCTGACAATCATGTCCACTAATCCTCCAGCTTCAGAAGATGATGTAATGCAAACGGCAAACTTCACATTGATCATTAACGTTACTGATATCAACGACAATGCACCACAGTGTGACAGTCGAGACAGCTTCTCTGTACTCGAAAATGCCTCAATTAGTGTCTCAATAAGGAGATATAGGGCCAATGATATTGATTCTGGTGAGAATGGAAACAGCGGATTGATATATGATATCAACGACAGTGGAGCACCTGGGTCAGGAGATATTCTCTGCACATTTGAAGACCCATTCAGAATCTATCCAGAGTCTGGGTACATATACCCTTGTGTCCCACTAGACTTTGAAACTCAAGACACTTACAGAATCAATATCACAGTTCGTGACAGTGGCTCCCCGCAAATGGTCACAGTGTGTCCTGTGGTTGTCACAATACTGGATGCCAACGACAATGTCCCCGTACTGAATCCCCCCACTGCCTTTTCAGTGGGAGAAACTGCTCCACTCTCGACTGAAGTGGGCTGCATTAATGGAACTGATGCTGATTCTGAGGAGAACGGAGAGATTGTGTACACATTTGAAGAACCACAGTGCTCGATGGATAATCCATTCGAGATTGACGCTTCTTCTGGTTGCATATCAGTCTGCCATACCCTTGACTTTGAGACTGACACAGCATACAATCTCACAGTAGTCCTCACTGACAGTGCCTACCCTTTCCATAGCACCAGTGGAACTGTGAGAATTTCGGTGGTGAATAAAAATGACCATCCTCCAGTAATAACGTCATCAAGTATCGCATATGTGATTGAGGAACAAGCCAATGCTGTAGTGATTACAGTTGAAGTAGAAGACTTGGATGCTCCACCTTTCAATGTTGTTACTCTTAGTCTGCCGGATGATGCTGGTGGTCTCTTCGCAATAAACTCTTCCACAGGCACTATACGCACTACTGAAGCACTTGATAGAGAAGAGGAAATGTTCTACAATGTAACAGTTACGGTATCTGATGGATTCTTCAGTTCAACCCAGAGAATGACAATCATTCTCATTGATATAAATGACAACCTACCCATCTACCAGGGAAGTGACACTTACTATTTCATGGAGGAGATCCTATTTACACTTGTGTTGGTCTATAATGACGAAGATTCAATGAACAACTCGTTGCATTCATTCAGTGTCACCCACTCTAATTTCTCAATTGATTCCATGGGAAATCTCTCTAACCTAGTACCCCTGGACAGAGATCCTGCCACTGGTGGCCAGCCCATTATTAGCCTCACCATAAGAGTCACAGATGGTAGTAACTCAGTAGAGACACACATTACTATTCGTTTGTTTGACATTAATGACAATGCACCAGTGCCTCAAGCTCCATTCCGCGCAGACATTTTCGATGGTACTGAGGCTGGTACAACTGTCCTCACAGTAACTGCTACCGATGCTGACAGTGGAGACAATGCGGAACTCAGGTATACCATTGATGGTACGTCATCTTTCTTTGATATCGACGCAAACTCTGGAAATGTGACGGCTATTCGGAACATAACTCTGTCCTCGGACATGTCACAAGAACTGATACTGACTGTAGCAATCAGAGACAATGGAGTAAACCAACAGACCACCTATCAGAATTATACATTCACCATCGTAAATGTAGTGCCACGGTTCCTGCAGGACTTGTACGAATTCAACATCAATGAAAACGACCTTGGCGGAGTGATCGACACCATTACTGCCATGGACAGGGACACAAACACCGCAAACGATGTATTTGTGTACATGATACTGAGTGTTACTCCTTACGACAGTGGCTTTAGAATCGAGAGCGAGGGAGCATCAGGTACTCTATATAGTCCAAGAAATTACTTTGATTTTGAAGACTCTGTACAATTTGAATTGAGGATTGCAGTGAGCAGAGAAAACCTGACCATCATTGACGACGAGACGATTGTAAGGGTCATTGTGGACGATAGAAATGACAATCCACCGCGACTCTCTCCACTCAATGTTAAAGCAGAGGTCCCTGAGGATATAGCCATTGGAGAAACTGTCCTAACTGCTGTTGGAATTGACTTTGACAGAGGCAGCAATGGCATTCTCTCATACAACCATTCAGGTGCTGGGGAGGAAGCATTTGAGTTCGATTCAAATGGAAATCTGAAAGTGGTAGACGTTGAGATTATCGATTACGAACTGGTGAGTTCGTTTATGTTTCGGTACCAAGCGTGTGATTCGGGAAACCCACAACTGTGCAGTGAATCGGGGATAATAAACATTACCATCACAAATGTGGACGATATCCCTCCAGTCTTCAATCCTAACACTTACTCCATAACCATTTCAGAGGATTTTGAACAGAACAGGGAAGTCCTGAGCGTTGATTACGGCGATGAGGACACTCCTTTGACCAATGTCATTCTGTCTCTCTCTCCACCTCAAACCCTCTTCGAGATAGCGCAGGTCTCTGGGACGCTGATGACTACAAACATACCCCTCGATCGTGAAACGACAGCGGTCCATGTGTTCTACGTGGTGGCTAATGACTCATCCAGTCAGTCATCGAGTGCACTGGTCACCATCACACTAAGTGATGTGAATGATGTAAGACCTTATGTTGAGCCTCTGGAATCCACTGCCAGCTTCACAGAAGGTGCTGGCCCAGCTCTCATTGCCCCCACCCTCTCCGTTGTCGATCATGATGATGTCAGCATTTATCCCTTGAGAAGTATAGATATATCCCTCCATCCATCTCTGCAATCTACAGAGAGCTACCCTCTGACTGGTGGTATATGTGACCATGCAAACTATTCCTTGTTCTATGATGAGAATGTGTACACAATGTGTGGTTTCGCGGAGGAACCTTGCCTTTATCTACTTGATCCTGAACGTGTTGTAGTGAGTACAGGAGGTGCACTGACAGATAAAATACTTACCACAGGATCGTCGCAAGGTTTTGCAGGAAACACTCGTCTTTTCTCCGGTGCAGACTTTGACACATTCAGTGTCAGTTTGTGGCTACGCCTTGATAGTCCAACAGCGTCAGGATCCATCCTTGAGCTCCGAACTACCCAAGATATCGAGCTGAATCTCCAGGTCGATGCCGTCGCAGAAGGAACTGGAACACTTACACTTTTATCTCGTACCCAAACCCTCCTAACCACTGGTCCACTTGATACACATGACACCGCGTGGCACCATATCACACTAGTTAGAGATGAAGAATACTTCACCATCTACTTTGATGGAATTGAAGAAGCTCATGACAATACTAGTCGCCAGTTTGATGACTCATTTTCGGCAACAACCAGTTTCTTGTTTGGAACGGGGCTAGAGACAGAATATCTGTCAGAGGTCTACTTGTGTTTCTCAAATATCAGTAAGAATGATGTGCAGTGTGCTCTAACATGTGGAGAGTCATTTGAAATGCAGGGTGATACAATTGATGTTGCTGCAAGCATCGATCTTCGAGCACGGTCGATCAACTTAGAATACACTGGCAGCAACAACGCCAATTCACTCACACAGCTCCAAGAAGCATTACAAAAAGTTCTCTTTAGATATGACACGAATATAGAAGAGCCAAACCCTCTCCAGAGAGGCATATTTGTCAGAGTGTTAGATATAGTAGGAACATCAGATGAAAGAGGAGTTATCACTTTAGTGGCAGATCTCGTCAATGACCAGAAACCAGTTCTAGACCTGAACGGGTTCTCTGAAGATGGAATAGACTACGCAACTACTTTCGAGGAGCTTTCAGATGGAGTTGAAATCATTGGCAGCGATGCAGTTCTCTATGATGAAGACAGCGGCCTCTCTACAGTAGGGAGAATAGTGATTGAAATACTGTTACCCAGAACTACCGAGGAAATATTTGCCACAGGCACTGTGGAGGGTCTTAGAATCACACAGGAAAGCAGTTCTCGGATTGTGATTGATTCATCGACTTCAGTTGAGCACTACCCGGGCCAATACCTTGATGCCCTACGAAGTCTGAGGTATCGCAATCTGCAAGATGAGCCGGTCCAAACAAGCAGAGAGATCCAATTCACTGTGTATGATATGGGCCTTACATTTGTCAATGTCCCATTAGCGACTACACATGTGACGGTGGTGCCAACAAATGACAGACCAGTGCTAGATCTTGACTCCTTCTCTTCCTCCACAAGGAACACGTCTCTTGCCTTCTATGAAGAAGAAGGACAAGTCAGGCTGCTCACTGGAACCGCACAGAGCATCATTGACCCTGACAGTGTACAAGTGATTCAAGCCGTTGTGAAATTCACACTCAGACCTGATGGCGAGAGTGAAACACTGCAGTTGGACTCTTCAGGGCTCAGTACTATGGTGTCTGCAATATTTGAGTCTGACAGTGGGACACTCACACTGGACGGGGCTTACTCTTTCAATGAGTGGCTTGAACTACTCAGAAGAGTCGAATATGTGAATACGTATGGGGACCCTGACGAGAATATAGTCAGACAAGTGTCCATGCAGGTTGTAGACGATGGAGGGGCTATCAGTGAACCGGCTTACATCATTATCTCAGTCGTTCCCTTCAACAATCCACCAGTTATATACCTCGGTGGTCCCAAGGTCCAGAATTTCCACACGGTCTTTGTCGAAGACGGTCCGTGTATTTCCATTGCAAACCTCACCATGGAAATAGTTGATGTCGATTCAGACACAATTGAGTTTTCTAGGACAACTCTACAAACTGTCAATGCTGATCTAACCTATGAGACCATAGAAACAACTAGTGGGGGTCCCAATGGAAGATACATTGAATCAAGTGATAGTCGGTTTATCTTTATCACTCTACAAGATCCAAGTCTAGAAAACTTTGCACTTGCCCTACCAACAATCATGTACTGTAACAGTGAAGATGAACCAGACGATGGAACAAGACAGATTGAAGTGGCAGTCAGGGACACTGGCTCTAGCTTCCTCTCAGCTTATTCTTACACTTTCATTGACATTCAACACGTCAATGATCAGCCGTCTCTGCAAGTAGAGTCTCTCAACAACATTTCGATCCGTGGAGTCCCAACTATCATTCTAGACAAAGACTCCATTGTCTTGGAAGACTCAGATGATGATAGGTTCCTAGTGCTCTATATTTTCATCACAAACGCACAGGACGGTGTAGAGAGTGAAACAATCATCTTTGATACCAGTCTCCCTGCCAACACGACCTCCCTCGGATCACTCGTGACAGATGATGGGATACTGAACAATGTTACCTTCAGAGCCGGCGGAGCTGATGCCAATCAAGTCATCGAGACTATTTCCAACGTGAGGTACAGAAACACAGCTGCAAATCTCACTGTAGATCCTCCACGTAACATCTGCCTTCAAGTTGCCGACCAAAGCCTCTACTTTAGCGAACTGGTCTGCGTGAGTGTAATTCTCTCACCACCAAATTTCTTCTCTCCGGTCATTACCAGCTTCTTCTCGGAGTTCACACTTTCAGAGAGAAATGATTCTGTGCCATTAGCTACGGTGGTGGCAGAAGACGATGATACGGATCTTGCCGGACAGATAGAGTTCTCGATCCCCCAAGTATTATCAACTCCTCAGGGAGGTTCAGCCAAAGACACAACATCCAGCAATATATTTCGAGTTGATCCAGCATCTGGCGGTTTTAGTGCCCCTGATGGCCTGGATGCAGAGGCTTACAAACAGCACATAGTAACTGTACGGGCCTCAGACATGGGAAACCCAATAAGGTTTGACGAAATCGAAATCCAAATTACTGTCACCGACGAAAATGACAATGCACCAGTTTTTAGCGATGGACCGTACACCCTACCTAGCGTCACAGAAGCTCAACTTAGCTTTGGAGTGGTTGGCAGTGTCACAGCAGAGGACGATGACCTAACATCACCCAACAACGATATTGTTTCCTATTACTTAGTCACCCAGGACTCACGTTTCTCCATTGACAACTCTGGGCAGATAACCTATACAGAGGAACTGGATGCAGATGTGGGGGATCCCAATATAGTTCTGACTGTCAGTGCCACTGATGGAGGGACTCCCTCCCTGACAGGATACACAACAGTCAGTTTCACAATCGGAGAAATCAACGACTATGAGGCAAGAGTGGATCAAGTCTCGCCAGCCCTGTATGTGGTGGATGTCCCAGCACTTCCACAGTCAATTGGTCCAGCCATGAGAGTTGATGACATCGACCTCTCGGTCTCAACCATCACTAGTGTCGTCGTGAAGCTCACACTCAACGAAGTCGACAGAGACCGAGGCTACTCCACCTGCCTAGCTATCTGCCAGCCTGAAAGAATCCAAGCTGCTGGTTTGACAACCTCATTAGACCTGTTTGAGCTTCCAAGCCCTGGGGATATCTTCCTTACTGATGATGGTAATACTAACAACCTCCAGTTCCTTGAGATTAGTGACACTATGTGTGACTCGGTCAGGATGACTAGGGGAGATGTGCGGGAAAGCGATGGTTATGGACAAATTGCTCGATCGGAACTTCCAAATGACTTCCTTAGTGGTGATTTCTCTGTATCATTTGTTGCTAAAGTTCAGAATGAGGGTTTTGTTGTCATTGTCCCAGATCAAACTAACAGATCTCTTGGACCTTCTGATGTAAATAGAGACTTTGGCATTTGGTTGAGACGAAGAGACCTGCTCTTCTCTTATGTGTACGGCCCTAACTCTGAACAAGAGACGATTGATTTAAATCTTCCCGGTGGCGTTGAGTTTTTCGATCCAGCAGTATCACTAGATGAAGCTGAGACACAACACTATACCGTGGTAGTGAACTCTGCTACTTCAGAGTTAAAGGTTTACATCAACTGTGAACTTCGGCTTATTGGTAGTTTAATGGGGCAAGTGGTCGTGCCCAATCCTGAGAGTGATGTGTTTATTGGACAATCAAGACCATCTCCAGTTAATGCTGGTCGACTTGGAGCAGAAATTCATGGCCTCTATTACCACCCAACTGCACTGTCCAAAGAGCAAATAGAATCTTTCTGTAGCTGTGGTCTTGAAACACTGATGCTCCCAAGCTCGATCCCCAGCAGTATCTCCGCTGACAGAACAATTACTAGTACAGACGTCACTATCTCTCTCTCCCCCACACAGTCAAACATCCCAGAAGATGACCTAGTGACCTTTCTACGTGGAATAAGATATGAGAATACGTTTAATCCTCCGACATTTGACCCGGTGCGTCCGTTAGAGTTCACTGTCGAGGAAGACAACAATGAAGACACTGCAGTCACCACTGGCTCCATTACGCTTGTTTCTAGTGACACAACTCTACCAGAAATTGACCTGAATGGGCCACTAGTAGGAGGCATTGACTACAGTGTTGACTTTACTGAGAATGGTGGAGCTATCGCAGTTTCAAATGATGTCCGACTTACCCGAATGGTTCCTAGTCCAGCAATTGCAACATTCGATCTGATAGAGATCACCTTCAATAATGGGGTTGATGCTGATGAATACCTCTCTGTGACCACCACCAATCCCTTCATCACTGTAATAGGCAGTGGCACAACCTCCATTACCATTGAAGGTCCTGGAGATTCGTCTGATTTCTTGAATGCACTGAAAACTGTAACCTATCAGAACACAAACAACAGACCAACTACCAACTTTGAGCGTACCATCGAATTCACAGTGACTGATACCAAAGGAGATACTAACAATCCTATAGCCATTGCCTCGGTCCGTGTAATTGCAGTGAACGATGCTCCTCAGCTCACTCTGTCGGGAAATGGTGATACAATGCACAATGTTGAGTACAATGAGGGATCACAAAATGGAGTCATACTGGCTCCAGATATATCTACCGTTGATGTTGATAATGATGTGCTCCAGACTGCAAGAGTTGCTCTGACAAGCCCAAGGTTGACTAGTGATAAACTCGTCATTGACAATATTCCTTCAGGGCTTACTTCTGACTACGATAAATCTTCTGGGATTTTGACGATTACTGGACCAGCTTCCTCTAGTACATTTGAAGAGGCACTTCGCAATATCACCTTTGAATCAACTGACAGCCCATTCCTCGATAATAGTGGCAACCCTATCAGTCCAACCGATCGTACGGTCACTTTCACTGTGAGTGATGGGATAGATGACAGTGTCCCTGTCACTGTACACATCGAGTTTCTGCCAGTAGACGACCCACCTATCATACTAGGTGTCCAGATATGATGACATTCACAGAGGGTGACCCCCCTATCAACATTGCTCCAATGGTGATCCTAAAAGACGATGATAATGATCACCTAATGTCGCTTCAAGTTGATCTGCTTGCCCCATTGAGTGGTGACGTTCTTTCTGATGGCACCACGTCGTCCAACCTGCTTCGGTTTGACCTGAGAACACTCAGCGAATTTCAGAATATCCTGAGGACGATCACCTATGTCAGTACAGCTGATGAGCCCTCTCTCAACAACAGAACTATCAATGTTGAAGTCTGTGACTTCAACGCCTGCGACAGAGTTACTGTTATCATCAATGTGGAAGATTATAACGATAACACACCTGTATTTGGGAGTGCAGCCTATGAATTTGAAGTAACTGAAGATATTGAGGTTGGAGCAACTATTGGGACTATTATGGTGTCTGACAGAGATGACAGAGACTCACACAGTACCAGATTCCTGTACCGAACAGAGCCCACCGTACTTCCATTCCGATTCGAAAGGATTGGAACAGCTGAAGATAGACTCGAAATCATTGTTGACGAAGAGCTAGATGCCGAAATTGAAACTCTACACGGGTTCAGGATTTTTGCAAGTGATGAAGTGAACGAAGGAAGCACAAACATCACTGTAAACGTGCAAAACATTAACGAGGCTCCCACTATATCCCTTGAGACATCTGCCACTATAGTTGGCAGTCCTAACAGCGAAACACAGTTGCTACAAGTGGGATTTTCCATCACTGACCAAGACCTAGGTGACTCTGTCCTGCAAGCACAGCTAATAGTACGAAACATACCTTTTGGATCAGCAGAGACATTGGTATATTTTCCAGATGCTGATAACGTCACATTCACTGGAACAGCAAACGAATATCTCCTTGAGCTGACAAGCGATGCAAATGTTACCCTGGAAGACGCACTGCGGGATATCTATTACGAAGCTGGCTCAGAAGTCATGGAGACAACACTGTTTCGCTCGGTTGACATTACAGTGTTTGATGCAGGTGGACTGGAGAGTGAACCTGTCGAAGTAACAGTGTCCCTGGCAAGCATCCCTCTCTTTACATCGTCAATATACAGCCTCTCCCTAACGGAAGGAATACTACACACAGACTTCTTCCAAGTGATAGCCACTGTTGAGAGTGGAGGAGACACAATAGATTACGCCATAGAGCAGAATGTTGGTGTAGACATAAATCCATCCACAGGGTATCTTTCCCTGACACAGTTGTTGGATAGAGAAGCTGGCACAACTAAGTCATTTAACGTGTTTGCGGTAGACAACCTTCCACCAGCACGGACAGGAACAGCTACTGTAACTATCACAATTCTAGATGCCAACGACGTACGACCAAATGTCACCATCAACCAGCCCACTATCACCATCTTCACTGGAGTACCGGTACTACTATTGCCCAATGTAACTGTATCTGACCCTGACATATTGAGCAATATACTCCAAGCAACTATTACGGTGGTTGGTCAAACCGAGCTAACTACTTCTCCATTCACCGGAGAAGTATGTGTCGATAACCACCAGATTCTACAGAAAATGGAAGAGACTTGTGGTCTCGAAAACTACACTGATGCTCTCTCCAGTCGGGAGGGAACTGGTGCTGGAGCAACTCTAGCACTGGACGATAATAACAATGTCTATCTCAACAACACAGGCAGCGGCTACGTCAATATCACTGCCACAGATTTTAGTTTCCTGACGGGAAACATTTCAGAATTGACAACTGCCTTCTGGTTCAGACCAGAGACATCAGGCTACGTCCTGTATGCAGGGCGCAAAGACCCAATTGAAAGGTACTATGCCATATACTTTGACAAGGACCAGAACCAGATTATCGTGACTTTCAAGAGGGCCGGAGTAACTGGTCTCGAGGCCCAAGTCAGAGTTATATTCCAAGTTTTGTCTCCTCTGTGCGATGAAAACTGGCATTTTGTGATGATACAGTACAACAATCGCGAGTTGGTGTGTGCGGTCGATGCTGCTCTTGTTGGAAGTCAAGCTGTGGTCTTCAAAGAGCAACCGTACATTGGGGAAGTTTATGGTGAGTTTGTGCTAGCCTTACATGTAAGTCAAATGTCGCATACATGCATTAGTGAGCCACGGGGTTCTGAACTGTCGCCACTAAGTGCTCCCAAGGCTTTTTAGTGTGTAGTTTCCATGGACAGTTGTCTAACTTGTTTAGAGCTATGCAACATTACCACAACGGTGGTATATAAGTCAGTTGTGGTTTGTTACCCTCGGGTATGATCCAGCCATGCCTTTTGAATCATCCCCGTAGTAAATTTTAGCTACACGCGACCACATATGATCGGATGGGAAAGGAAGAGGGTGCCATTCGGGCTTACTTTACTGAGCAATGCACAATCACATATGAATTGCCGGTAACTTTTTCACTTCATCTCCTACTCATCTAATGTAAATACATCATGCAAACTTACCATTAGAGGCTATAGGAAATAATAATTAAAAAAATAAAATGAAAATCGGAATAAAAAATCGGTGGAATCATAAAAAAATAGGGATTAATAGGAATATCAATAATAGTTTATGGAAAATTAAAATAAAATATTAGGAGGTTAAAAAAATAGGAGGCCTATATAAAAATTGAGGATATAGGAAAAAAATAACAGGAAATTAAATTCAATATAGGATTAGGAAAATAGGATAGTTAGGAAAAAAAAAAAAAATTAAAAAATAATAAAAATTTAAAAAAATTATAAAAGGAATTAGGAAATATTTAGGAAATATAAATATATAGGAGTATTAAGAGGAAAAATAGGAGGAATAAGGATAGAATTAAATAGAAAATTTGGAAAAAAGAAATATAATTATAGGAATTTTTAAATATTATTTAATAGAATATAAAATATAAAATAAAATATAGGATATTAAAAAAAAAAATATAGTTAGGGATATAATTATAGAAATAGGAATAGAGAAAATAAAATAATAGGAAAAAATAGGAAATTTATTTAGGAAAAATTTAAAATTAGAATAGGAATAGGAAAAAAATAAAAAAAAAATTATATAGGAATTTTCAAAAAATAAATAGGAATTAGGAATTTAGGATAGGAAAATTAAATACACTAATATATAGGAAAATAGATAAAATAAACAAAAAAAAAAAGGAAATTAATAGGATAGAGATATTATTACAATGAATAAAAATAGGAACTTAAAAAAAAAATAAAAAATAGAAAATAGGAATAGGAAAATTAATAAAATAATAGGAATAATAGTAGGAAATAGGAAGAAAAAAAAAATAAACTAATAAAAAAAAAAAATAAAAAAAAAAATAAAAAAAAAAAAAGTTGTTGTATATTAGAATAGGAATAATAGAAAAAATTTAATAGGAAAAATAGGACAAAATAGATAGGGAAAATAAAATATAGGAATCATGGCTATAATCAGATAATTTTATAAAAAAATAAACAAAATAGGAATAGGAAATAATAGGAATATAGGAAAATAGGTTATAGGAATTAGGAAAATTAAACTAAAAATAATAATAGGAAATTTTAATAAAGGGATAATTAGGATTAGGATAATTAGGAAAAATATATTAGATATAATTATAATACTAAACACTTCCAATTAGGAACTAGGACTTAGGGTGCATATTATCGTTTAAAAGAGAGAAAGAAAAAAACAAAAAGTGGAGTCGAAAGAGGACACGAAGAAAAGGATAAAATGAGGAAAATCATATTGAAATGAGGAACAAATTAAGTGTAAAAAAGTAAAAATCCGTAAGAGGATAATTTAGGAATAGGAGGAGGATGAGAAGGATATATAGGAATTAGATAGGGAACATCAAAAAATCAAATAGGAGAAAAAAAATTAGAAAAAATAGGAAATAAAATAGGAATGAAACAATAGGAAATAGAATAATTTTGTTTAGGAAAATAATAAAATAGGAATAATAGTTTAATAGGACAATAGGATAGGATATATTAGGAAATAGGAAGACAGAGGAGGAATAAAAAAGAGAGGAAAACACCTACAGACGGGATACTAAGTAGGAAAAAAGAGGAATAGAGAAAGTTTAGAAAAAAATAACCAGATGGTAGAGGAAAAGAGGAAGAATATAAATAGGAAATGAAAATAGGAAAAAAATCGAGGGAAGAGAGGAATCAATAAAATAGGAAAAAAAAAGAGGAAAAATAGAAATTAATTGAAAATAATGATAATAATAGAATAAAAAAATTTTAGGAATAGGAAAAAAGTGTTTGAGAAAATAGGGAAATAGGAAATAGGAGGAATATAAAAGGAGAAAAAAAAAATAGGATAGGAAAAATAAAAATAATAGGATAAAAAATAATAATTAATAGGAAAAAAAAATAGGATTAGGATATAGGATTTTTAAAATAAACATTAAAAAAATAGAAAAATTAAAATTTAGGAATTAGATAAAATAGAAAAAAAATAAAAAATATACAAAAAAAAACAAATAGTAGGAGTAGGATTAATTTTAGGAAATTAGGAATTTAGAATAGGAAAATTTTAGGAATTGAGGAAATAAATAGGAAATTGGGAAATAAAAAATAGAAAAATAGGAACTATCGAATAATAGGAATATAGGAAAATAAAAATTTAGGGAAAAACTTAGGATAATAGGAATAGGATATAAAATTAGGAATAGTAATAAATTTAAATAGATTAAAAAAATCAAAATATATAGGGAATATAGAAAAATAGGAAAATTATAGGAATAATTAATAGATTTAATAAATAAATGATAGGATAAAATTTACTATAGGGAATTAATATAGGAAAATATGGCAATATTAGGAAATATTAGGAAAATACGTAGGAATAAAAAATATTAAAGGGAAAAAAAAAAAAATTGAATAGGAATCAATAGAAATTTAGGAATAGGGAATTAGGAAATTAAATAGAGGGAGTAGGAAGGAAAAAATAGGGAATAAGAAGTAAAAATAAAAAAAAAATAGGAATAGAAAATATAGGAAATTAAGTTAATTAATAAAAAATTTAGAAATCCCAATTAGGAATAAGACCTTAACTAATGAATATTTAGGGAAAATAGGAATAAAAAAATAGATACAAGGCGGCGAAAAGTAATAATAAAAAAAAAGAGGAAATTTAGCGTTAGGAATATTAGCGAGTGACAATAAAATATAGGAAATAAAAAAAAATTTTAGAATTAATGAAAATATTAATAATTAATAAAATAGTAATTTTAGGATAAAAAAAAATAGGAAATAGGAAATAGGAAAAAATAGGAATATAGAATAATATTAGAATAAACTATTAAATGAGGATAGAATAGGAAATTTTATAGGAAAAAAATATATAGAATTATATATAGGAATAAATATAGGATAGGAGGAATGATTATTTAGGATTTAATATAAAATATTTAGGAAAATTAGGAAAAAATAAGAAATATAGAAAAATAGGAAAAATAAATCATATATAAAAAAATTAGGAAAATTCAGGAAAAAGGAAATAAAAAAAAATAATATATTAGGAATAAATTTTTAAAATTAATAATAAAAAAGGAATAATAGCATAGAATAGGAAAAAAATAGGAATGTGAAAATTTAGGATAAAAATAGGACATAGGAAAAATAGGAAATTATAAATTAAAAAAAATACAGTTAGAGAAATTAAAAAATAAAATAAGAGATTATATATAATTCTATAAATTTTAGGATATTATTAAGAGGAAGAAATTAAAAATTAGTAATAATAATAATAATAGAATTTATAGGAAATGAGGAAAATAGGACAAAATAAATAATATTTAATGGAAAATAAAATAGGAAATAGGAGGAATTAATTGAGGGAATAGGAAAATAAAAAAAAGAATAGGAATGAAATAGGAAAAAAATTAAAAAAATAATATTTCGGGATATAATAAAAATTTTAGGAAATAAATTAGGGAATCATTAATAGGAAAAAAAAAAAATTAACAAATACAAATAGGATTTATTAGGATAGGAGGATAATTTAAATATTAGGAAAATAGGATAGGAAATTAGGAAAAAAAAAAAAATAGGAATATAATAAAAAAAATAATAGGAATTAGGACAATAGGAAATAGGAATTATAGAAAAAATAGGGATAGGATAAATAAATAAAACTAATATAGGTAGAATTAAAAGATTAAAAAAAATGGAAAAATAAAATCAAGGAATATAAAAATATAATATTAAAAAAAAAATATATTAGGGGGAATAGGGAAAAAAAGAGGAATTTAATAGGAAAATAATAGGAAATAAAAATAGGAAATATATTATAGGAATAGGAAATAATAGGGAAATAGATCGGAAAATAAAAAATTAGGAATATAATAATATACGGAGGTGGAGAATAGGAAAATAGGAAAAATGGAATAGGAAAAATAAATAATAGGAAATTAGGAAAAAGAGAAGGAAATAAAAAAAAAATTAGGAAAAAAAATAGGAAGAGAATAGAAAAATAGGAATATAATAGGATAAAAAATAATATAATAGGAATAATAGATATAACAAGAGGATTGAAATAGGGAAATAGATACAAATAAAAATTAGATATTAAAAAAATAAAAAAAAAAAATAAAAAAAAGTTATATTATAAATCGGAATAAGATGAATAAATAGGAATCAATAGGATAATAGGATTGAGGTATTAAAAGGAAATAATTAAATTATATTATAGGAATAGGAAAAAATATAGGATAAATTTAATTTTAGGGATTAATCTAAAAAAAAAATAAATAATAAATAGGAAAACAAATAAACAAAAATAAAAAAACTGCAATAGGAAAATTTTATAATAGGAAAAATTTAGGAAAATAAATACGAATTAGAATTTTTAATAATATTATTAATAGGGATATAGTAATAGGAGGCTAAAATAAATAGATATAGGATCGGAAATAAAAAAGAAAAATTATAGATAATAGAAACAATAGGAATAGAAATTATATTAGGAAATAAAAAGGACAAAATATAATAATTTAAATAGGAAAAATAAATATAGGGAAAAAATACAAAATATAAACAAAAAGAGGAAAAAATTTTATATTAGTTTATCGGA